ATATATATATATATATATATATATATATATATATATATATATATATATATATATATATAATTGCGTCTCTATACATCTGTCAGTGAATTGTAATGTGCAGAACTAAATGATGATTTGGTGTCAGTGTCAGGAAATCATGCAGGTTTAATGTGCTGATAAACAGGTGTATCAAGGTGTTGAACTGGAAACGCCTCCCTCAGGACTTGAGAGAGAGTTTCACACTCTGTTTAACTCTGATGCTCTGCTATTTCTGTCTGAACTCATCTCTACCTTCCAAGCAGAGGCTGACAAGGTACCTCTTCAATTTATATTTTCTAATAGAATTTAACCCAATAATGCATATTAAGGAAACCCCAATTACTTATTTATGCTACTCATAACAATGTTTGCTTGTTTATTTGTCTTTACTCTTTTGCAAGGTTTTGAATTTTCGAGTCCTCCGGAAAGTTCAGTTGGATCTGACAAGAGAGTTGCCAGGCTTTCTGAAGGACACAGCTCATATCCGAAATGATCCCAGCTGGAGAGTGAGCCCAGTTCCAGACCGATTACACTGCAGACATGTGGACGTTGGTGACCTTTCACCCTGTGATACACAACGTCTTATAATGGGACTCAAATCTACTGCCCAAGGTTTACAGGTAGGACTTAGTAATGCAAATAAGATGACACTGAAGTTAGAACAGAAATGCAAATATATATTGTATACTAAACTGCACTGAATACTGAAAAGATTGTATTTTTGTGTATACAGTGGCATCCAAGAATTTGAAACTGAAAAAGCTGAATTCCTGGCTGTAACTGCATTATTGTTCTGTTCTGTTCTGGTAGATTGATTTTGATGATGGCAACTGCCCAACATACCGCAATCAAATAAAGGGTATTTACAATGTTTATCAGGCTGTGCACAACCAGTTTCAGGGTGAGTCTTCAGTCTAACTCCTGCTACTTGTTTTGTCAGAAATGTAGTGAATTAAATATACTTTAACAAAAGAATCCCATCAGAGATGTATGGAAAGCATGTGTTAACAATCTGTCATATTCCTCTTAAACAGATGTACCACCCATTTCTCAGGCTCCAGTGCTGATGCTCCGTCCTCGAGCATGGAACATGGTGGAGCACAACATGATGGTATGGATCTGTAGTGAGCTTGTTTAATGGCACAGATGAGAATATTGGTGTCTTTGTTTGTTTGTCCCAACCATGTGTTTGAAATTGATTTAATTTCACATTTCACCAAGGTTTTAAAATTTTAATCACTTATAACCACAATTGGATTTTTTTGCATTTCAGCTGTTTCTCCTAGAACACATTAAAGGCACAATATGTAAGATTTTTTTTATTAAAATATCCAAAAACCACTAGAACAGTTTTATAGATTTTGCTGACTTGTGTACTTACATTATCCCAAATGTTTCGAAGAATGTTTAAATCCAGAGAAATAAGCAATTTTAACTAGTGACACGGACCATGTCTATAGTGTCATTGTGTCGCCTGCCAATGACGTCATACACCCTCGATTATTGGTTTTGTTTTGTAGAAAACATGAAACACCACAGATGCTTTAATATGCTATGCATTTTATTAGACGGGTGACGACCGCACAGAGTAGCATTATAACAAAATGTTCAAATGTATCTAGTATGATTTACTATGCTTTCCGGAAGGAGCGGAAGTGGTCGACTGTGGCATAATAAAAGCTCCGCTGCTTTCGAGCCGTGTGTCGTGCTCGTTCAGCAGCCTCGTTTTGCTTCGACGGCTTTCCGCCTCACTCTGCTTCATACTACGACGTTAATAAATCTTTAATACATTAGCTCATCCATGAACATGATTTCTGCCCGAGTCCCATCGGATTGCTTCGGCTGTGGGGATGAAGACGACAACAACCATGATTCCACACTCAGTCACGGCATCATCTAACTACGCCTTTGTTTCTTTGTTTGTTTTGAATACGCGCCCTCCAGTGGCAAAAAATTACATATTGTGCCTTTAAGTGTAAATGTAGAGAAAATTGATACTTTTGCTTGTTTCCTGCTTTAGATTGTTCTTCTATGAAAAAGCCCCAGTAACCTCACATGTGTCTCAGATAAAATTTCAAAAACTGTTGAAACTTAGATTTAAATTCAAGAGATTTCAGTGAAAGCCATTCATAATTAAAGTCTTCACATTCATGTTATAGCTCTGTACTCTTAATTTATGTCAGTAAATGTCTCATTTGTGTTTGTTTTATATTGCTCCAAATGGGTTTTTGGAGAAACATATGATTCAGATTAAAATAAAAGATAATTTAGAAATCTCTTTAGCTGTAAATGAGCTGATCCTGCATAGTAATATATCATTCTTGTTAGTGTGAAGTATATGTACATCTGTTTCTCTGTAGGTCAATGGTCGAGAGGTTCCAGGTCCATTGTTTGATTTTGGTCTGCTGATGTTTCATAATGCAAAACTAATTCTTCAAAACCAGAGTGGCCCTTTTTTCTACCTGTCCAAGGTCAGAGTCAGATCACATCACTCTGTTTACCAGGACAGAACTTCAATGTAGAATCAAACATATCCTAGAAAATCTTAATGATATGTTGTGCAGGTTGAGAGCTACACGGAGGCCAGACTCTGGAGTCAGATTTTTTTCTGGACTGAGAAAAAGGTGCGAGTGTTGACAGAGATTACATGTGACCCCAGTGCAGTTTTAACTACCATGAATTTTTTTTCTAATGTATTCTGAATTATTTTGTAGCTTGGCCTGCCAGCGGGCTGCATAAAGGCCACTGTGTTGATCGAGTGTGTCCTGGCATCGTTCGAGATGGAGGAGATTTTGTACGAGCTCAAGGAGCACTCTGCTGGTCTAAACTGTGGCATCTGGGATTATTCAGCTTCCTTTGTCAACAAATTTGGTCAGCGCATACATTTTCTGCAAGTTCGACTAGTAGACTCAATCACATTCCTCGATAGTGACAATGGTTGCTTTATAGGTCATCGGGTTGATTTCCTCCTCCCTGATCGCAGTAAATATGTGGATATGGAGAAGCGTTTCCTGCACAGCTACATGGATCTTCTAGTGCAGACGTGTCACCGCAGGGGTGCCCTAGCAACAGGTGGCATGGCAGCATTGCTGTTGCCTGGAGACAAAGAGAGTGACCTCTACAAGACTGCACTCAGAACTGTCACCAGGCAAGACGCAACCAGATTAGATAAAAGCTCTGTGGTGATTTGAGTCCAACCCATAATTGCAATCAAAATATAGTGGCACATAATTTTAAATCCCAATATTACAGTGGCCAAGTAGTGCACAACACAACAAAATCTCCACAATGGAAACAAGCCGCAATACAACGAAATAAGCACAACACAACGGAAACAAGGCACAACACAATGAAATTAGTCCTATGCGTTGTGTTGTAGTGATTTTGTTGTGTTGCGCACTACTGGGCCACCGAACATATGGCAGCTCAACCATTTATGGTTCTGTATTGGTTTTCCATATAAATTATCATTCTTGTGATATTTTAGACTTAAATTACTGGAGATCAAAGCAGGAGTTGATGGGTTCATGGTCTACGACATGGACCTGATTGAGCCCATGCAAAAAGTAAGTGTCACACATAAGTTGTTCATTTCTGTCTGGTCATTGATAAACTTCCCCATAACAGCACTTGCATATATGCAGAGGCAGACAGTAACTAATTACATTTACTTGAGTATTGTACTTAAGTACACTTTTTGAGTATCTGTACTTTACTTGAGTATTATTTTTTCGTATATGTTAGAAACAATATTGTCTGATTTTGCTAAATTGTGTACATGCCAATATTACCTATAAAGCCACAGAAGGACTGTTGTGCATCTCCTAATAAAACACAATAGGTGTTGGACTTGAAGCAGCACTGTATAGACTGTTCTGTGTGTGACATCAAAGTACCACGAGAGTGATTAGAGAGAATTAAAAAAAATAGAGTTGAGTACTTTGTCCGCCTCTGCACAGGAATAACACTTTAATAACACAGTAATAACACAGCAATAGCACAGTAATAACAGAAATTACTTGGGACTAACACATTATTAACATAGTAATAACACAGGAATAACACATTAATAACACAGTAATAACACAGGAGTAACACAGGAATAACACAGTAATAACAGAAATAAAACAGAAATAACAGTTATAACACAGGATTAACACATTAATAACACAGTAATAACGCAGCAATAACACAGGCATAACACAAGAATAACACATTAATAACACAGCAATAATTCCATAATACCACAGTAATAACGCAGTAATAACTCAGGAATAACACAGTAATAACAGA